AGCCTGAATTGATTTGTGTTAGGGTCTACATAAATTGCTCTCGTAAGTCATACCGTGAGATTCAGGATTTCTGGACTATTTGTAGCTTTGGATCAGGAATTATGCAGCCTACACAACCAGGTTCATTCCACTGTATAGTACATAAATATAATCTTACTACAACTAAATAATACTTTGTGCCGATAGTCCCAACATCAATTGATTTACCAAATCCATTTATAAACAAAAATCATTTGAATAAAAGAATTATAATTGGAAAAACAAACTTAAACATTATCATTCCAGAATATGTTAAGGTATACTGTATACTTTACCAACTCAATGCTTGTTCCAATTAGCACTAAAATACAGATATCCCAGGATATGTAAATGAAGAAGTAAATAAAAGTCCACAAAAAAATCACACAGATTTTAGAACTATATCTACTAGATTCCTCAAAGTACTTCAAAGACTGTCATATAACTATTTAACTGATAACTGCACATACTACCCATTTTTTAGTCATTTATCAAGGCAAAAGGAAAATTTATTAATTATTAATGCGGACCATTTCTTAGCACGTACAGGTTCGAGCACAAAACAATGAATCCATAGACTGTATACAAGTAATGCAGTACACTGCAGTGGTTTTTTTTATTTTTAGTTTCAGAAGTACAGACTCTGCATCACAGATTTTCCACAACGATCAGATCTTTTTAATTTTATTTTTTTAAATGATAACTCTTGCAATAAACACACTGTTGAAGAAAATTGAAAGAAATACGCCTGATCCTAGTCTAAAAACTTAAGTTTAATGTTTTCCATGAGATGATTAACGTCGTATTGAGCTAAAGCAAAACGATCTGGTTCAAATCATATCACCCTCGTTTATCAAGAACGTTTCATCAAAAAATTAATCCAGTTTGCAAATGAGCAGAAGTGTTGAGACAAAACTTAAATAACTCCATTCGAACAATTCAAGCTTTTTGACTGGATGATTAACATACCCATGAGCGAAGCTTCTAGTAGATGCTTAGCCAAGAGAATCTGTTCCATGGGATTGATGTCACCATCTTCGATCCAATGCCTGTGGATCGCCACCACATTGTACACATTGGACATCATGACCACGAAGACTGTAGCAGCAACAGTCTTCACCACGATTGGACCGCGGTCCCGCTTGATCCTATCTATTCCCATTATCACCAGCTTCCTGAATGGCGTCTTGAACACGAAGATCACGATCAACGCCATTTCGGCGAAAATCAGAGTAAACAATAACTGAATCATTGAAAAGGCGAGTTTTGACAAAGGAGAGGGTTTAGGGTATTACGATCGGAGAAGACCGTTTGATTGTGACATTGGAATAGAAGGATATTGGGGTTTAATGAAATCTCTCTCGTGTTTGGTTGAGCCTGAAAAGGGTTTTGGAGTTTATTAGATTAGAAAAAAGATTGAGGATATAAGTGTTAGTAAGTGTGTAAATGAGGACTATTGTTGCAATTCATCCTTTCTATTATAATTATGAAAAGGCTAATAATGTATTTTAGAACAATAGATAATGTGTGGGCAAAAATTAAAACCCTGTTTGATTCCCATTTTTTTTTAAATACTAGTCTTGTGTCATGCAATGCATGACTTGAATTTTATAAAAGGAGATATTAACATATTAAATAAGGAAACAAAGGGAGACTGCAAACAATAAAAAATTGATTCGATTAATTAAACGATTTAATTATATCAATTAGATATTCAATAATAAAAAAAAATGATTCGATTAATTAAACGACTTACTTATATTGAATATAGTATTATCAAATACATCATTTATAAGTAAAATAATCACTTAGACTAAAATAGTAATGTTTGAAAAAATACATTTGAATTATAGCAACAAGAAATTGAGCCAACAAATTTTTCATCTTAATTATTTTAACATCCAAAAAAATTTTATATATAAAAAAAATTCAATAATTTTTAGGAATTTTTTTTCTTATTGTTACTTTTTCTTCTTTATAAATTAATTTTTAAAATAATCTAATACAATTTTTTACATAAAAATAATCTAATACAATTTTTTGCATAAAAGAATGATTATTAAAAAATTTTACGTTAAAACCAAAAAAAAAAAAAAACAAATTTGACGTCAAACAAAAAAGAATTAAAAAGGAATAAAGAAATAATTTTTTTAAAAAAAAATGCATTTTTAACACATACGTTTAATCTCCGTTTAACTATTTTCGATATTTATTTAGATCATTCGATATCTCTACGATATAGTTCTAAAAATGAGTTTCGAGAGAATGTAAAACATTTATCGATTCGACTATCGTACAATCGTTGACGAATTTTTAAAGTTAACTCGTTATCGAAAATTTCGAAATAGTAATAAAATAATTGATTTTTTT